CCTGGTCGGCTGGGGGGACGCCCCCCCCGTGCCACCGGAGGTGGCGACAGTGGGGGAGGCACCCCGCACTAGCAGGGCCCCCCCCCGGTTCGTAACTAGGGGTCCGATTTAAGTCGGACCCACGTAACCCGGGGACTGCCTGTACATGTGACTCATGCCTAAAAACCACTGACTGCTATGTGAAAGCCTGTACAGGCTACAAATCAGTATTTTATTGCACATGTAGCCCAAGGTCCAGTGTTTCAGCAGCAGCCCTGGGAACTACAAGTTGTGGACTACAAACTGCAGCATGTTGGGAGAATTTCCTGGTTCCTGCCAGGATGCGCTCTCTGCCCACAGTAGGGTCTCAGCAAGGACTGTGCTAGAAGCAGCACACTGGCTGCATGCTGAGAGAAGGGGCTGCTGAACTGTTTTCCTCTTCTATGTTTTTTACAGAATAAAGCCTGTTCCTGTGATTTATCAGAGTGGGTCTGGTCTGAGGTGCACTCACACATACACAACGCAGAGTGCACCAAGCAGCCTCAGGCCTAGCACCCCCCACAGTAGTGTAAGAAGTCACAAGCTTCCCCTATGCTGAATAACCTCACACTGGGCTAGCCAACAGGAGGGGTTACACACAGAACACTGGCTTAGCAAATGAGGCTCTTCAATCATGTTACAATAAATCACTAATGAAAATAAGCCTCACCTCACAGAAATTCACCTCTGCAGCTGTTAGCCTGTGGAAGCTTTCCAGACCTCCTCGGCTCCATGGCTTGGTAAAGTAACAGTGAAATCCTCCTGCCCCCTAGCCTTTGTAGCTGTTTAACAATGAATTAGACATTCCTCACAACCCTATTTTTCAAAGGTGATATCTCCAATGTCACCCACATTTCTTGGGGTCTAGAGAATGAGTGGGAACTCCATCAAATGTACTCATGGAATTCTATGCGTCTATATAAGCAATTAAATGGCAAAGTTACAGAAAACTTCCCACAAAGCTTCACAGAGGCTTTTATTCCCCTTAAAGACTGCTCTTTAAGCAAGGCACAAATGTGCAAATATATAGGTTTCAATATGAACAATTTGTGCCATTGGCAATAATTGATATTTGTTCACACAAACATCATAATTAAACATGCAACTGTAAGGGCCAAATGTCTATTTTGAGAAGCTTTTCTGTTTGCAGTCACCTGCTGATCATATATAATATAGACTCAATGATATTTCACTTCTGCCATTCTGTAAATTACTTCTAGCAGTTTTCCCCCTTTCATTTAATCAACGGTCCCTTTAATGCAGAAGTGAAATAGTAGCAGGAGTGAGTAAGCTGAGACCAAAAGGTTAATTACTGCCAAAATATCATTCACCATCCCGTAGGTATCCTCATTCGTGTTTCACACGGGGCAGTAGTTTCTCAAATCCACATGCTTTTGAAAAGCAGCAGAACCCTCTCATGATAACATTTTGTTCCCCACAACCCTCAGAAAACTTTACAAAAAGGTGAGTTCTATTATCACGGGAGGAGGCCCTACCTGGCACACTACCCTCTCTTCTTCACTCCAGCAATCCTGGCTTTTTCACCCCTTAAAATTGCAGGAGAATACTGGGGGTTATCGCTGTGGCTGGAAGGCAAGATGTTTACTCCTCATTGCAAACAGCTTCAGCAAACTTAACCTGGCTGCTGTCTGATCCCCTGAGAGCAGCTGCTACAAGACTATGATCCTTACCCCTCCCCCAACAGATATGGGCAACTTCTCCCAGACAGAGCAGAAGAGGCGAGGGAGGTGCTAAATCTTTGAATTATTTTGAATTGATTAGCATCATGGGATCCATTTATGCTAGAGTGAAAGCTTTTCCCCCTCTCAGTTTATTGTGAAGCTTACTATTAGAGAAATTAGTATTGAAGGGTAATGAAGCAATTCAAGAATTTTTCTCCATTTCACTCAAAACTAGAGTTTTATCACAATGCAGTTCATTATGGCCATGAGCCAGCAAAGCACTTGAGCACGTTATCTTCAAGCATTTGAGTAATACTTGTATGCTTAAAGTTAAGCACATGCTTGAATGCTTTTACTAAATCAGGGCCCAAAGAGGTAAGCTTCTCTGGATCTGGTAAGCAATCCCTAACATGTTAATGGAGCAAGGTAAACAATGATTAGAAGTGGGGACTGTTGAGAGTATTTTTCATATTTGTAATAATGATTAGTCTTTTTTAAAGAACCCGATAGTATTTATCTCTATTATAAAGTGCATCTCCTTCAAAATCCACAACCAATCATTTTGGTTATATTCTAGAATGTCTCACTCTTCCTCTGTGTCTTCTCCTGGCTGCCACTTTTACAAAGGCCTTATGGCTTTATTATCTGGAAGAGATGTTGGGGGGAGGGTGACAGCTCTGTTCCCCAGCACAATGCATTTGTTCAGGAGGGGCACATATCACAACCCTGGTATTCCATAATCTGTGTATACAGGTGCCTAACAGACAAATTTTAGCTGTATGGATCCAAGATATGTGTGTATAATTTTTAAACTTAGAACATCTTAGATTTAAAATACACACAGGCTGGCTACGTCTAGACTGGCATGATTTTCCGCAAATGCTTTTAACGGAAAAGTTTTCAGTTAAAAGCATTTGCGGAAAAGAGCATCTAGATTGGCACGGACGCTTTTCCGCAAAAAGTGCCCAAACGGGAGCAGCATAGTATTTCTGCAAAAAGCACTGATTTCAGACAGTAGGAAGTCAGTGTTCTTGCGGAAATTCAAGCGGCCAGTGTAGCTGCTTTTGCGGAAAAACTTGCCAGTCTAGATTTAGCCGGTTAGTATTTATTCATGCCCTGAGGCCTCAGACCTTGGCGTGAGATGGCACCTTAACTGCCAGCATCACACTCTCACTATAGTTGTACCTCTGATATTTGTTTAATGTGATCTCTCAGATATCAGAACTTAGATCCCTTTTTCTATTTTCTTGTTGCATACACAACTTGCCTTCCAGATAACAGAAAATGTAAATCATATACAAGTAGCTTCAGTGATGAAATCCCAGTATCAATTTGGAGCAGACGTCACCATCTGGCTGTCTTTAGGAATACCTCTTTGAGACTACTTAAGTCTCCTGGCTAACTTACGAGTTTTAGGAATACTGCTGAGTGTTGCTAATCTTAACACATTTAGCCTCCCCCCACCTCTCCAAAAAAAAAACCATCCGTATACTCAAAATCTGTGCCTAGACTCTGGTAGCTCTTGGAAATACTCTTAAGTTTAGATATCTGACACTGTGAAGATTTGAAGGTATAAAATACTGAACAACAAATTTTTGATTCTCCACACCTACAAGAAAAGGGAAGTTTGTCTGGCTTATTTCCTCTAACAGAAAATGAAACCAGGAGTAATTTGTAGTACTGCTACAGCCCTCGCTATGGTTAATAGAGAAGGTGCCAGAATTTGGTTGTATGATGGCTGTCACAGTGTCACAGGTGACAGTGAGAGTGTTAATATGAATGCTGCAATGAAAGAAGCAAATGAGCTTTACAACTAGAGAAGAGGTTGATGATGACTCTCCTATTCCCGGGTCACCTTACTTGGCTTCCTATGTCAACATTAGAGTGTAGAACTGAAATTACAGTATCTAGGTTTAAACCTTTTGTAAATATAAATGTAACCCCCCAAATTAAAGCTGTGTGTGTGGGGGGGTAGGGATGGAGATGGGCTGTTAAGCTTTACAAACCTAACATCATGAAATTCACAACTTTACTCAGTTACCTCCCTCTCACCATCTAGTTTACTGAGGTTTGACTTTTTGCACTGCAGAGCCAGCAGAGCTATTAGACAGTGAACTGGGTTCTTTCCTAGTGCTCATTTACTTCTTTTCATTGCAGCATTTTTCTGGCCTAAATGAGTTAACAGAATTGTTACATACGTATCGGTGTCTGGCAGTTATGTTATCTAAAGGTGCACAGAAGACTACAACTCAAGGAATTGTAAGATACACCTTTAACAATCCCCAGATGAGTCAGCTGAGTTATTGGTGAGGATGCATCAGCCAGAAAGAACTCAGCTTGACTTTCAGATCCCATGCTCAGTTTGCAGATGGAATAAACAGAAAAAGGTCCAACCCACCTAGGCTGAGGAGCTTATTCAACCACTGATCTTGATTTTCAATTAGTCCTGAATACTGGGGAAGTTCCAAAAGATTGGAAGAAAGCTAATCAATGCCAATATTTTAAAAGAGTAAATAGGATGACACAGGAATTATAGGTCTGTCCGTCTGACACATATTCCAGGCAAAACAATGAAGCAGCTGAGAGGGAACTCAGTTAATAAAGAATTAAAAGAGGGTATTATAATTAATGCCAATCAACATGGGTTTTGGAAAATAGATCCTGTCAAACTAAATTGATAACTTTTTTATGACCTTACAAGTCTGGTTGATAGAGGTGACAGTGTAAATCAGGCCTGCCAACAGGTAAGGGAATGACAAAGGGGGCAATTCAAAGGAGCCCAGAGCATCCAGCCAACACTACTGCTGCTACAGCACTGGCCAACCCCCAGACCCCTTTGAATTGCCTCTCGTGTGCCAGAGTGCCACTCTGCCACTCCACATGGCTCTGAGGATTGTGTGGGGAGCATGCCACGGTCTCGGCATCACTAAAGGCTAACTGCCATGGCCCCACTCCTTTTGCCCTTAGCCCCACCCTTTCCAGGGGAGCAGAGCCACTCCCACACACACTTTACTCAGCTGGCACGACCCCCTCCTGCTCTCACGCTCCTGCGGGGTGGGCTGGACACAGAGGGAAGCCACATGAGCCACACAACTAGATTCCATTCCCCTCCTGCTTGCAGGATCATGTCCTGGCAGGTCTTTTCCCATGTCAGCCACTAAACTGCATGGGTACGTCTAAACTACATGGCTCCGTTGATGGAGCCATGTAGATTAGACAGATAGGCAAAGGCAAATGAAGCCGCGATCATTTAAATCGCTGCTTCATTTGCCTTTGCCAAAAAAACAAATCTACATGGCTCCGTCGACGGAGCCATGTAGATTTGTTTTTTTGGCAAAGGCAAATGAAGCCGCGATCATTTAAATCGCTGCTTCATTTGCCTTTGCCAAAAAAACAAATCTACATGGCTCCGTCGACGGAGCCATGTAGATTTGTTTTTTTGGCAAAGGCAAATGAAGCCGCGATCATTTAAATCGCTGCTTCATTTGCCTTTGCCAAAAAAACAAATCTACATGGCTCCGTCGACGGAGCCATGTAGATTTGTTTTTTTGGCAAAGGCAAATGAAGCCGCGATCATTTAAATCGCTGCTTCATTTGCCTTTGCCTATCTGTCTAATCTACATGGCTCCATCAACGGAGCCATGTAGTTTAGACACACCCCATGAGTCCAGATGTTCCTTTGAGAACTCTGTTGTGTATCTGCTGTACAGTGGCCGCTTTAAAGCATAACTTTGGCCTTGCACAAAACACATCTCCATTGTCTTTAGGGAGTCCTTCCCTGTGTGATAACTGATCAGGTTTTAGGTGCCACAATGTATCTCTCGTAATGTGTGCCCTTGTAATTTTTAATTACTGCAGAAACAGTGAGGAGCTTGCTGTGCACTCCCCTGACTCCAGCAGCTGTCCAGCTTGCATAAATCCAAAGGCGAAAATGGACAAGGGAAGACATGTTCAAGGAGCATCTGGCATTGGGCACTGTCAGCAGACAGAGTACAAGGCTAGATGGACCTCTGGTCTGACCCAGTATGGCCATTCTTATGTTCTTATGAGCAAATGCAATCTGCCCACTTAGACACGGAGAGCATAACTGAGTGGAGGAATATGCTACAGGAGGAGCTGTGAATGGAGCATCATGAAAGGATAGCATGCAGGAAACTGCACGTGAAACACCAGGAGACTGTCTCGTTGTCCCTGACATCTGTGATGGAGCATATAGTAGCTTTCCAAGATGCATATCTGGACAGGATCCACTCCCCACCCTTTGCAGACCCTCTTTCTCTCCTCACCCAGTTCCATAGCCTCCTCCCCCAGAGGCCCTAGGACATAGTGGGAGGGAAACTCAAAGGCAGTCTCACACTCATTCTCCAAGGCATCAAAAGACAAATGTCTGCCCTCACATTTCTGATTCCCCTCCCCCCCCCTTTTTCCATCCCTGCTGTGTTCCCTAAATAAACAACAGTCTTCCCAGCATAAATGGACAGGCATGTGCTGGTTCTGCTTGTGGTAGCATGCTAAAAATAAGTGTGTGTCCACAGTGAATGGGTGGCAGCTCAGGTTAGCGGCCCAAGTACATACACTGGGAACATGGGGGTCGGGCAGGACTGCACTTGAGCTAGTCCAAATTACTGCCCATGCTGTGGCAGCCATGCTGGCAGCACCCTCCGAGCTGTTGTGTAGAACATGCCCTAAGAAGTTATAAATGTAAGCACCAAATTTCACTTAGGTTTTGTCTACATTAGGAAAATGCATGAGAAGCACTCCTCTAGTAGTGCCACCAATGCAGACAGGGAATGGACACTTTTACCACCATTGTAGCAGGATTAGTGTCTGCATTATAGCTTCTATCATTTGTAGCTGCAGTGGGACTACCACTGCAGTAGAATGATTACAAATGGCCCCAGTGTAGATGTACCCATGCTCACACTGATAGAGGCTGGCAAGATGTTTAGATGCTA